ATATATATATATATATATATATATATATATATATATGTAGAAATCTTTCTGCAAACTTTTTCGATATTCTTAAGCTTCCAAATGCAGATACAAAAGTAATGTTCTTTAAATTTTTTTGGTTTGGAGCATCCACACTTTCGGTATGTACAAGCTGCGGAACTTTCAGATTAAGCAAATATTACACTAACTTGAGATCTTACATTAAAAATCTTCTGTTCATTTTCGTTACATAGCGAGCAATTCTCCTATTTATTTTTGCACGTACTTTTATTGCATAAAAGCATTTGTAATTCTGTGTAACCAATACAACGTAAATTTTACAAAAAAATGTCAATGTTCTATCGGTAAAATTTTTAGCTTCAGCATCCCCTTAAAGTGTACCAGAATTTAAGAGAAAACGAGTAAGTAGTAAATAATTAATAAATAAGTAATGGATCTCCGTATATACCTTGATATCGGATGGGATCCGAGCAAGAGTGTCGAAAAGTGCTGTAACGAGTGTCGGTTACTGCCTACTGATTTTGTAGCTTTGAACGATAGTGTCGTTGCTGTGATGTGATTATTACATAAGTATAATACACAGCAAAGAAGCTGCGCAACGACACACCATGTTGGAGACATCGTCGTTATAAAGGTAGAGAATCAGTCTCAACTCTGGGCGTTTCCCCCTATCGACACTTTGTGCCAAAGTACGTGCAATTATACTCTCCGTCGACGTCGCGGCGCGCATTTATTATACTTATAATCGCTATCGGCGCGGCGAGCATTACAATATATATTTTTGCGAGCGACGTCAACGCAAAAGTATTCGCATGCGCGATTGTATTTAATATTTAGCCGTGTACCATCGAAGTCTCAAATTACATACGACGCGAAATTACACGGCGTCCCGGTATCTCGCGTATGCGCGAGAGCTCAACGAGGGCAAATATTTTCGCTAAGCGAATAATCGCACACTATTCGCGACGGATCAGATGGTTATGTGTGTGTGTTGTGCGCGCGCGATTTTAACGGCCCCGTTACAAGCCAGTGCAATCACGCCGTCAATCGCTAAAATACTTGGCGCGCGTGCGACGACACCCGCTTCTGCATCGCGTGTTAGCGAACACGAAAGGAGTCGCCCGAGTGGCGGCTCTCGAGTGCCATTCGAGAAAGGTCCTGCGTTTTCGAAGCGACGTCAATCGCTTCGCCTTTCAATGGTTACGTTCAGCAGAAAAAACTGCTTTGCAACTGTTGTAAAATTCGTGAATCTGATTGATACATGCTTTTGAATTCTTCCAAAATTAACAGCATACTCCAATCAGATTCACTCTACTGAACGCAGCCATTATTTTGTTTAGGGGAGACCGGGCCTATAGTCGGCTACCGTGATAAGTTTGCAAAACCGATTATTTCCACTGTTTTTTAACAGATTTCAGAATCAAGCGAGCAGGGATTTCGAAGCCATTTTTGTCATGTCTAAAAATCTTGCTTAATTCTGTAACTTATTAGAAAGTAGCAGAAATAATCGGTTTTGCCAACTTACCCTGGCCTCCCCCACATGTTTTTCCGCCGGAAAATAAAATACCCACTCGATTGCAGAAGATATTTCATTGCAAAGAGACATACAGAAAAAAAAATATTCTTGCTTGGAGAACATCTGATGTTCAAAACAATTACATACAATAATTTGTCAGCTCTTTGCTGCACCTACAAGCTTAATATCAAAGCACAAGTAATAAACAGATAAAAAAAACTAATAAACAAATAAAAACACGCGCCAATCGCTTTGTCTTTCTTTTGTTCATGTTTTTCTATCAATAAATAATAATCTCGCCCAATTAGAGATAATCTTTCAGCAAGCAAAAATAAAAAATAAAAAATAAAAAATAATTCAGAATAATTACAGATAATAATTTACCAATATTTTGCTTCACTTCCGAGTTTCATATCAAAACAAGACTATATAATAAATTAATTAAACAATATTAAGATGACACAAACGGTTTAACATGGAGAAAACATTTGATAATTTAAAAAATATTTTATGACGATCACGCGCAAGAAACGTCAGATCAATCTATATTTCGAGTAAAAAAACTAACATCGTTATCGATATGTAAATTGCAGAAGGAAAAATATGTCCGCAAAAAGGCGCAGACTATATTTGATTCAAATTAGTTGAACGTAGCTTGCGAAGTCGAGTCTATCCTCGCAAAGTGAGAAAATTTCACTTGCAAAGTTAAATCCAACTTTGCACGCGCGCTCCGGAAGATATTATGCGTCGCGATTTTGAGGGGAATAAAGAAACGAGCGATTCACCGACAGAGAGAGAGAGAGAGAGAGAGAGAGAGAAAGAGAGAGAGAGAGAGAGAGAGAGAGAGAACATTGGATTTCAACACTCGACGAGATGGAAACACGCGCAAACGACGCGAATGTTTTTTTTTCCAAACTTGACGCCGCCGAGCGAATATTTCCGCGAGAGAAATGCATTGTTCGCGGGAGAATATCGAGAAACGAGCGTCGCACTTGTAGATTATGCCGTCAGGCGTCGCAATCACAACGTCTGATTTAATTCACCTGTCGTAACTTTTCGAGGGGGGGTTACGGCGCAAATACAATTCCGTTATTCTCCGACAGCAATATGGAGTAATGCCAGAGGAATGCGAATCAATGGCGAGGGCACACGGAGAGAATTCCTCCTCCGATCGTATCTCATTCCCAGCTCATAATCCCCGATAGATCTTATCCCGCCGAGAAATTAAATAGACGCCGGGGCCTATAATAACACTCGCTGCGCAAGATCTGCCTTGTATCTCTGGTCCACGGTTTTTTACACGTTCGACTCGCGTGCGATACAATTAACATCCGTGAGCTTTTTCGTATTAAACGCAAAACCTGTATTCGTTTGAGGAAAGGGAGATTGGTTGCTAAGTGGAAAACTTCGTGCTTTGTGCTTCGTCGCCTTTCGGAAAACACATCTTTCTCAACCGAATCAACGATATCATGTTCGCAATAAAAAGTATGACAAGGTTAAAATATCAGAGATTTTCGAGCTATCGGCGGTCAGATGTACGGAGTCGGTAGGAACGGAGCACCCTATATACATATCGAAACATTCCTACGTAGACCAAAGTCCTCTAAACATCAAGCGACCTTCAGGTTCTTTTTCTACCTACGAGCGCGAGCCTTCCCGAGAGAGAGAGATAGAGAGACCAAAACAAACATTGGAACAATTCAGAGACGCGAAGACGAGTCGAAAATGTACGCGAGAAAAAACGTGTAATGGCGGCAGAAAAAAATCTGATATCCCAAAAGAACAGCTTCGGGAGGAAACATGGCTGTCGCGCGCGAGAAACGTTATCTTCGCGAAAAGAGGAAATCCCCTCGCGATCGCCTCTGATCGGAATCACGCGTGTTTCGCGGATAGAATTCGCGTTCCCGACACACACACACACACACACACACACACACACACACACACACACACACACACACACACACACACACACACACACACACACACACACACACACACACACACACACACACACACACACACACACATACACGGACTCGCGCATATACAAGCAATCGCGCCGGCGACGCAGCTTCGCGCGAGTAAATAAAGCGTCCGATTTGAGGCATCGGCCGTCACGAGTCGTTGCACTTTTCCATGGCCAACAGGTGGTGGCTCCGGTGAACGGGGAAACGGAGCCAAAAGGGACTCCAAAAGTACAACGTGCGCGCGCACGTATACGCACTATGCACAGGAAGCGCGGTACTTACCTCGAAAATTTGGAGAATCTCGACGCAATGGATGCTTCTCAATTCCGATGACTGGTGTTGGGGTTTCTCCTTCCTCCTTGTTCCTCTCCCTCTCTGTTTCTCACTCTCTCCGCGACGTTGGGATCGAGACGGTTACACGCTGAAGAGGAGAACTCCCTTTGAAAGAACTCGGCAACAAGCACAGAATACACACGATACGTAGCTGCACCACGACAACGGCGGGCACGCGCGAATCTTACGCACCGCGATTGTTCTTGCTCGCGAGATAAGACCGGACGAGAGAAGTGCGGCCCCGTAACGACAATACACGACGCCGAAAACACGAACCGACTGACTGACGCTCGTGACGCTACGCGACGTGTCCGAACAGGTCTGAGCGTGAGACAACGCGCCTTCCGCGCTCGCCGTACGAATGACTGCGGAGCGGCCCGAGTATGGCCGACTACCCTACCACTTTCGCCCGCTGGCGGCTGACTTGCGCGCGACCGCCGCGTTTGCGCCGTCGGTAACGCAGCGCGCCTGACACCGACGTCAGGTAAAGGCAATTGCTCGATGACAACGCCTTATATTTTCTTTATAGAAATTACGAACTGGGCACACAAGGCGTGCAAGTCAATTTTCCCAAATAAACTCACGATCGTAAAACTCGATTAATAAGACTTGTTTCTTTAAATTCTTGTATTAGAAATACTAGTTTTCTTGCGATAATTGTGCTTGCAAGAGTCAAATAGTATATCGACTAAAGTTGTATAATTGACGTGCTCTTTTCCTAATCCTATCTTTAAAGAGAGAGAGAGAGAGACAAAGAATAAATCAAACCTCAATTGACTCAGTCAAGATGAACTTAGATTTACGAGGGTAATATCGAGGAAACGATGAAGTCATTTTTCATACGTATCGCGGAGGAAAATACGAATGGTTTAACCGTTTGTGCTTATACTCGTTTTAATGATATGCAATGTACACGCGTGATGCGCCATTCGATGTATAAACGAAAGGAATAAACCAATCTATTTAAATCTACCGTACAATTGGTGGGATATACAATTCGTACTACACGTGACAAATATTTGGTCGATATGAGATGTTACAGGATATGTTTTTGTGCAATGTCGCATCGATTCCAACGCGTATCTTCCCTTCTCGATGAAAAACAGAATCTGATAACATTCAATGTCGACATATAAAGTATAACTGTAGGGCGATGACCGACGCGCTTGAGCGATCTGGAGAACACGATATCCAACTCGTACGAGTAATATATTGCAAAATTTTCGACGTCTATTAACTTCACAAGCCTGATGATCACATACGTAAAACGCAAAGAATGTACGAATGAATCCGTAGCAACTATTACACTTAGCTCGACATCACAATCACTCCGGATCTGGAAGATTTGACAAATTGTCACTCCCCGCGTTTGCGCATTGCTACGAACTCAATCTGCAACATTAAAACAGCTTTACACGTATCGTAATTTCAAACTACGAAGAATATCTCTTGAGGAGACCACGATCGCGAACTATATAATATTATCGTTCCGATTAATTCACGATTAATTCACAATGATGTAACAATTTGCTTTAAAATTACAATATCGTCATTATACAAAAATAAAATCGCGTTGTTCGTGTACGCGCGTGCGTGCGTATGTGTTGATACGTGTGCGTACAATGTACACATATACATTTATGGCATGCACGTTATAACAATTAAAAATAGTCATAGGCCAACTGGGATGCACATCTCAATTTTCCTGGATGCACACTCCAATTTTCCTGTTGACGCTAATAATGTTACTAGAGAACAGTTGCGAGAATGTGTGCATCGCAAAGTGCTAAGTAGTAACTAAAATTCGTACCGATTCACGAAAACAAGTGTAAAACATGAATCTAAAATGTTGATAAGATTGTAAAAAATTATCCTTGTGTAAAAAAATATAACCAAGGCATGTAATATTCGAAGTCAAAATAGTAGACTAGTCCCCTCGTCGACAGACTCTACGCAACGTGTATCGAAATCCGACATATTCTGTCAGTACATTTTCTCGTTGACGTCACACACACACAGCTGCGACGATTCCTTGTAAAAACATTCCTTCGATTGCCTTGGCGAAATTGATTGCGTTTGGCGTGCGACACGATAAAAAAATATCATATATCATTTACCTAGTATACTAAAAAATAGGAAGTCCTTAATATAAGCGGATTTAATCAACGAAATTCGCTGAATTTTCGCAAATAAGATTTCGTGAATTAGATCCGCTAATTAAGCATTCGTTGCACGGTCGACGATAAAAGTGCCTTTCGCGTTAAACCTACATTAAAATTAACGTAAAACCATTGATTGTACCCAAATATAAGAATCTTTACGACTTGTATAATACTTAATCTAATCGAAGAAGTCCCGAGTCAAGGGATTTCTCTCGAAAACGGCGATCGACGCAAAGGCGTTCTCCCTCGCTCATCGCAGCCGTCGCTCTCTTCTTTACCTAATAACATTAGATTTTTGGTCCATTTTATATTGCTACACAACGCTTCGAGAACCGATCTTTCTCCTAACAGCATAGCCAATTTATGAAGCGAACCGCTGCTACTATATAAATCATAAGATACTCTTTGCTTTCTTAAAAGCACTGGATGCCGTCTTGCGGTAAGTACTGCGTTGACATCGCAGTCTTTCGTACGGGAGGTATACTGCACCGTCGCAGTATTGTTCTGCATACGCGTTATAATGCTTAAATACAAGGAAGCAAGTTCCATGATCTTCTTTCTGTCTCTTCGTTACAGGTAGTTCGTTACATGAACCTTAATCTATTCGATTTCCGCATGATTCATCCAGTGAATGAATAATAAAACGATCTTACGCTAACCATCCGTGCATTGCTTCCTCTCCTCCTCGACTCGCTGTCGAGTACGATTGAAAGCCTCGGTCTTCACGAAATCTACGGTTTTGTACACTGTCGTGTTCGGCGGCGACTGCGCCAATGGTAACGTCGACGAGCTGAAACTCTCGGTCGCCTCCAAGTCGAGATCCAGATATTGCAGCACAACCAAGCGCCGATTGGACGCGGGAATGAACGTGTCGTGGTCATGATAATAGTATATCTGCAAATCGAGTTACAATCGCGTGAAGTCATACAGCTATGTCACGCGACGCCCAAGAGTGCGAGGAGTTTCTCAGAATCTCTCTGCACGTACCTCCTCTTTATCGTCGAAGGCATTGTTGTCTTCGTCTGATGTCGATTGATGACGTGTCGTATGTACGTGCGACGGGGGCGTCGGGCTGGGCGCCGCTCTCATCCTTCCTTTGCCAGGAGGAGAAGCTAATTGCAAAGGTCCTGCGGGTCAAGAGTCGATGTCAGTGTTGCGTCAAAAAATACTTCCCGACGTTCCTCAACGTTATCGCACGTTGACGTTTATGTCGATTTCACCCAGTTATACTTGTTACATAAATATTTGTACGATATGTATCTTTTTCTAAAAAGCTTACCTTCCACCGGCGATTTATTTAACGGTGGCTTCAACTTCCTATTGATACTCGGCGGTTCGGCTGGTGAATGCTCGGTGGAGCTTACCTCGGCCGCCGCTATCGTAGGACTCGGTGACGGCTCGTTGCTGACGATGGACATCGAGTCGCTGGTCTTCCTACCCGGCTTCAGGTCTCGGTAGACTACCGGTGGTAGCGGCGCCGTGGTCGTCGGTACGCTGCTCGTGCCGTCTCGCACGAGCGGGCTCGGTAGATTCGAGTAAGTCGCAGTGGTGGAACTCTCGGAGCGCGGACTCGGCGGCTCATCCTCGTGGAAATCGTAACGGAACACTTGCGCATTATCGTCGACGGTGCTCGGCGCGGCGTTCGAATAGAAGTGCTTCGACGACTGATCGGCCGCTGTGTTCTCGACACTGGCTGTTGGTTGCGCCGGTTGATGAGATCTGGGAAAATCGTACGACTCGTCGGTCACAGCGGCGGTAGCAGTCGCGACTGGCGTGATCGGCGCCGGCGTCGCCGGAGTGGTCGGTTTCGAGCTCTCGATGGCGCCGTCCAAGTTCAAATAATTGTGACCCGGATTCTCCGATAACATATGAGGTGGTTTTGGTGGTCTAGGTGGAGCCGACAACTTCTCTGTGGCCGACGGCACCGCAGAGTCGACGATCTTCAATTTGCCAAAGCGTTTCTTCACGCTCCATGAACCGATCTCGGCGTCACTCGAACCATGAGGTGGCCGTGAATCACCTATAAGGCACATGTTGGCTCGTTAACGAACGTAGATATATACGTAATGAATTGTGTCGAGTGAACGTTAGAAAACAATCACCCGTCGAAGGAAACGTATCCCAATTCACACTGGGCACAGGCGTTGTCCACTCGTCATCGGTGAACACGCTCTCGGCATCTGTCGTCGTTGGTGACCGAGGCGGCGAGGGTGCTAATCTTCTCGGCGCATCGTAATGTTCAGGTCCTTGGCCAAGGGCTGAGCTCAACGAGCTGGTGTCATTAAGACGACGACCAGAAATGCACTCGCTAATGGGAATGTATGGACCAGAGATCGTGCTAGTAGGTGAAGTTGGTGGCGACTCTTGGGACTCGTACTGAAACACTGCAAGTTAAAAATTGATATAAAGATATAATAGTTTTATATAATAGTCTTTATATGTACATATATATATATATATATATATATATATATATATATATATATATATATATTTCTTACTTATAATTTTTCAATGTGTATATATTGAATATATAATATATATATTTAAAAAATATATATAGATAGATAAATATATATATAAATATAGAGAAAGGTAGATAGAGATAAATCATATATATGCATGTATACATATATGAGAAGATATTATTATACTAGTATATATACTTATATAACAAAATATAAAACTAGTGAAAAAATAGAACTAAAGGTTAGCGTGTGAGGTCAGTAGTTATTACTTTGTTGTTCCTCATCCTGAGTATACGCTTTCAGACCACAAACTTGGCACACAGCATCCACCCACTTGTTCATATCAGCTTCATTCTCAGCCACTAAATAATAGATCCGCTTGGGTGTCTTAACATTGAACATATACTGGTATTTCTGTTTACGATTCTCAAAACGAAGACCTGCATCCACCTGTGATATGGATTGTACATATGAGTACTCACGGTTAACATGGCACGCACACACATACACACACGTTGATAGTTAATAAAACACAATGTGGAAGCAACGAATACCTGCTCGCACTGATCCAAGTCGATACGACCCTTGAGTTTGCGACAACGTTTATCCGTGTAATATTCCAAGAAGTATTGGCCAGGTAGCTCACCGCTATGACGAAGGGCAAACCAGCGTTTCCTCCATCGCTAATTGGACAAATTGCAACAATGTGTGTGATAAGACCAATATCTGCGCTCTCATAAGAAAAAAAATCGCATCACTCTCTCGACGCGGTCTAACGCGCGAGCACTGCATTACCCGCAGCACTCCTACCAACCGCGGAACTTTGATAAACATCCGAGTCGGCTGACAAACATATTACACCGCTTATTGCGAGGACCGCTTTTCCTCATCGACGGCACGAGTCCCGAGAGTGGCCAGACGTATGAAAGGAGAAGGATATCCCTCGAAATTAGGTTAGACCGAGAGCAATCCTCGTGAAAGCTGCTGCGACGACTGTCGCGAGCCAAGTTACGTTACCACGACGAGAGGTTAACCAAAATATTCGCGGAGCGCCCTTCGCGAATAAAAGAGACAGCGCGACTTGTCAGTCGGGCAAGGTGCAAGACGTAAACAATGGGCGCTGGGGCAGCGAGGAAGACTGACGCAATTGCACAGATCACCGAGTACCTACCGCTCTCCAGAGTTTCGTGGGCGGCGATTTGATGAGCCATCCTTCGTGGACGATCTCCTGAGACGTCTTGAGCACCTCCATCTCCCCGGAGATCGCTGATCTCGTCGCTGCGGTCTCACTCCTCTCAACAGTCGACGAGCATCGTCGTCGACGAACAGAAGGAGATGGAAATACGAGGAACCACCGACGACGACGACGACCACGACGACGACGCGCGCTCGTCGTGCATTTGTCTATTTTTGGCCGACGACACACAGAGAACGCAAGAGCGAACAACTGTCTCATGTACACACACTAGTGTCGCTCTTTCTCTCTCTTTCTCTCTCTTTTCCTCTGTCGCACCTCTCTCTCTCTCTCTCTTTCTTTCTTCTCTCTTTCTCTCTTTCTGTCTTACGTGCGCTGTTACGACGGTAGCGACACAGCAGCAGAACGACGACACAAATACCGTCACACGGAGAGGCCAGCCCGCAACGGGACACTGAAGGCTTGCTCGCGCGGCACACAAAGACGCACGGCCATCGTCTCTCCTTGTCGTCTCCGTTTACCACCACCACCACCACCTCGTCGCCGTCACCGTGGCCACGCGTGCCAAGGCTCACAAGTGACACACGGTGTCTCCGTGGCCCTTCCTCGATGACAGCGCAGTGACGTATGAGTCCACACGGCCGCCCGAATCTTTAATTAGGCAGCTCCCTCGACCCAGTGTTACACTATCGATACAGTCAGCTGATTGAAAGGTTTTCCTCAATGAGTTCCGTAAAGCATCCGATATCCGATAAGAGATTTGTTTTCTCGTAATTCTCAGGAGATGCATCTTCCTATCGGATACGTCGGATAAACTCATCGAGAAAAAGTATTGCTGCACTTAATCGACTAGCTGTAAAGGCCAAATCACACTAGCGATTGACGATTGACGATTAAAGATAATTAGATTTTAACGAATCAATAAGCTTCAGCCTTGGCTTGCTTTGTTCCAACTGGTCAAGTTCCAATCTTCAATCGTCAATCATCAATTGCCAATCGCTAGTGTGATTTGGCCTTAAGATCTTTTTTAAATAGCAGAATGCACTGTAAAGTTTCTTAGCGCGTCGTAAAGTTAGCCACTCGTCATATGCGTTCGGGAGAGTTCCTTCTGAAAATTTTCATCTTGCGGCAACGCGAGCAAAGAGAGTTCGACGATTACAGACGATTACGATCAATCAAAAAGAGACACAATTAGTCCCATAGTGGGGCGCGGCGCAAAATATTTCAATCGACATATCGATATGTATCGAAGAAAACGCACACAAGTAGAACAGATTATCTATTGGTTAACGTTTTTGAAGTTAACTTTTGGAACGTATCTATAAGATATCAAGTCAATGTCAATAATTCGTCTTCTTTAATGTGACATCTATTAAATAACAATTTACAGTTGCTTAATAGCTAGTTCATTTATGTATCTTATAGTTATCATTTGGTATATATTTCATTTGTATCCATGTACCAACTTTTATATCTAATCTTTATATTATAGATACTTTTATATCTAAATCTTTCATATCTTATATCTTTTTGGATATTAAAAGTTATCTTTCGGGCGGACGATATATAATCTTTTCAGTAAACAGAAACTTAACTTTTGTACCGAAAATAAAGTTATCCTGACTTAATTTTATATAGTAAAATGGAATACTTTAAGATAACGTTGTTCTACTTGTGCAGTTTCCCGAAAACGAGAGGAGATTTCGTACGAGATAAGAATCGTGTGTATACTTGAGTGCAAAGTACTGTCGCATGCGGCGACAGATCACGATGAATTTCTGTCGTCGAACAGACGCATCTGCGTTCGTCGATTCCTCAGCCTCGCGCGGAGAATGATGCGAGTTCGCGTCGCCATTGCGATCGCTCGCGCAATCACGCGCGGCCGCGTTCATGGCGAACTTCTCGAGTCGCGCGCGCACTCACTTTCTCCGCGGTAATTCGAGAAATTTCCAATGACGCGATTAATGTGCATCCAATCTCTCATTAGTCGCACGTGTGGAAGAAAGTGTACGGTACGTCGAACAGCTGTTCAGTTGAAAAAATAGTGTTAATTTTAAGCAACCTCTCACAGAGACACTGTCGTGTGTCAGCTCCTCGGTGTGCCGTTGTTGCATCGAGATCGCTCCTGTCGTAATAGTGTTGATACACAGAAAAAGAAATTAATATCCAGCCAAGACTAATTTACTCAAATTAACAATCGTTGTGCCATGTATAAGCAATGATATATAATCTCGTCAGAAAAATGTTCAAGTCTTGAATTTCAACGATGTTATTTTATTTGATTGTTATAACAGTCTCATAAGACATACAATATGATTACTTTGATATTATTAATGATACCTTCTTCGGATATTTAAAAACGTCATATTTTCAATATTCGATATTTTGTGCTGTCCATTCATGAACATTATTTTTGACTAATAAGAATATATTTTTTCTTTGTGGAATCATGTAAAAGATACTAATGTAGTAACTTCCCTAACAACACATATTAGTTGGCCAACGGTTTTGGTGACCGCTGTAGATTTTATATTAGCCGTTATAGATTCAACATTGGCCAAATGCTTTTCCTATATATTAATGTTTCGGGTTATATTATAGCGGTGAGTAATACCGCTATCAATTATTTATTTTTAACAACAGTCTCATCGTCACATTTAAAATGACTTGAGAGAGGAAGAGAGAGAGAAAAAGAGCACACATTCACACACACATACACGTGTAAATTCTTATAAAGTTTTTTAACTATAAATAGAACTAATGTTATTTTAGATAGGATAGTTATTTTAGATTAGATAAGAATCGTTCTCTCGTCACATCCGCTCATTAATTCCGCGAAAAGATAAGTCATAAATTTGTATGAAATCTCTATATAAGTGCTCGACTTTGACAAATGCATCTCGCAACAGTAAAATCAGTGAGATCAGCGTAGACATCGCGTGTAAAATTGATCATAGCTTTCTTTTTCACAACGGACTAGTCGGTGAATTAACCCTTTCGCTGTGGCCACCGAATGCCGAGGCATAACGACGGGCACTCGAATAGCGATGTTCGCGGAAGGGCAGAGCAGTGCGTATAATGCGGAGAATAGCACTTAATTTGCAATTCAATGACCGACCAGCCGTAGACCAGCCGATCGATATTCAAATCCGGCTCTCGCGAGTCTATCGCAAATAATCCCTCAAATCTAGCGTCACGAGAGACCGCGGACATCGCTGCGACCGCGCGATGAAAAACGTTATTTCCGTTATAAGTACGACTTCCTACGTGCGCGGGAAGATTATCGATGATTGTCGACCGGTCTCATTCTTTCAGGAAAAGATAAATAAAACGAGCGACGAGGCACCGATAAGGAACATCATCGAAAAGATGAAAGATGGTTTATCAAATATTTGTTCTCCGCAGGTTCTCCTTTATTGACGATTCTCGGAAATTCTTGGAACATTGGCAGGAAGCGGCTCTTTGACTGCACGAACAAACATGAAAATTATATTATTTTAATACAATATATTGTATTAAATAACGCTTTTCTCTCTCTTTCTCTCTTTGCCACTTTAACCGCGGCCATATTAAATTTTAATTTATTGTACATATATATTTATACATTGAGCGCATCGTCGGAAGGCATGACGCTATCCGCGATATGTGTAACAATAACGTTACGTCGTGTGCGTTTCAGAGTGCGCGTTACCGTCGTTTACACGCGTGAACGCGCGCGTGTGCGTCCGCCCGAGGGACTCTGAACTTCCTCCCTTCTTCGGCGTCACCCGTTATCGTGCGCGGCGACGCAAGGACTCGGCGTTACATGCACATACATAAGAATACACGACGAAACGATACATAGGGAAAATCGAGCGATCAGACCTTGATCGATTCCCGAGAAAAACGTGTGTGGATCCTATCGACGCTACGTTACGCAACGACGAAAGTAACGTGGACGCCGCGCTTCCAAGTCCTTGTCGCAGACGCGGCCGTTATTCGCGCGATCGCCAGCGGCGAAATGCGTCTCCGCGAATACACATATGCGCAGGACAACGATAAAGTAATCGGGGCGTATCAGTCGTCCTTGACGAGAGTGTTAATCAAATTCATCCTTTATTCAGTATTTATTACTATATATCTCTGCGTGGTGAAGGGGATTAGTTATTACTTGAGATCCACATTTTACAAAGTTTGCTTCTCTCCCCTCTCTTTTTCTTGCTCTCTCTCTCTCTCTCTCTCTCTCTCTCTCTCTCTCTCTCTCTCTCTCTCTCTCTCTCTCTCT